TAGACATTTAGTTAGGCATGTAGGATGAATGAGAAAACACTTCCTAGCCAAACTGCAATAATAGTCACATCAATTTTGCAATGTGAAGACAGGGGTTGTCATTAAATATGTAAACTTTGTTGTCCCACAGGCGATTATCGTTTGAAGCTTGTTAAGTTGAGCACAGTATGTTGCAGTGGAAAAAGTTCTTCCAAACCTAAAAACAACACCTTTTGTGGGTGTAGGTTAAATTTTGAAGTTAGTTTTTACGGTTGTTCTTTTTTTTTTTTTTTTTTTTTTTTTTTTTTTTTTTTTAATGTTGATTTTAGGTACCCCAAGAAGTCCTTACGGTCTTATCGCAGAGCACCGCGGAAGAGCATTTAATAGGAAGTTCACGCCTCCTTCCCAGCCGATGTCGCAAAACTTGTCCAGAGGTGGGGTTTGAACCACGGATCTTACGTTTCTGAGGTAAGTGTGCTACCACTGCGCCACGGCTGTTCTAGCCGACGCGTATTGGTGAGTTTTTTTTATTTGAGTCCCCACTTCTCATTTTCAGATATGCAGATTTCAGATATTGCGTAGAGTCCATTACTTCTCATTTGACAGATATGCAGGTGTACATGTGCTGACCTAGCTAGACAGCATTTAGTAGGTGTACTACGAGCACGTAAACCTACATGTGTTAATTTATTTGCTATAGAATACACTTGTGCAAAATGGGACCTCCGAGCTCGGTGTTTAAAGTCTGCAAAACTAATTTCAACCGAAAATTTTTGGCTTTAAAGAAAACGTGCACAATTTAAGTAAGAAGAGAAGTATTGATGTTAAATGAACTCACAATGGTTTTAACACGTGTTAGTGTTTGAGCTTTAAACGCACGCATCAATAATATAAAATATTTTGATGTTAACTCTAAAAGTCATCGCCAGTGAAAAGAGACTTTAGCAAAAACTGACTTGCTGTCTTTACGCTCTTGGACTGACAAAACGACAATTCGAAAAACAACAATCGATGGATTTGCTACCACAAAATAGTGTAAAATTATTGGTACTAAAATAAATTGATAGTTGGCAAAGCAAAAATTTACAGCCTTTTTTCAACATCTAAAATCAATATTTTCAAACAAGGTAAAAAATTTAAAGAACACCATTTTTTATAAAACATATTTTTATATAAGTAAAATTTTACAAAGTAAATTAAAGAAATTCATACAGCTTTTCTGAAATTAAAAAAAATATTTTTAACTTTCACTTTAGTTTTGTTTTTTCAATTTTAATCATCAAAATGGCAAAAAGGAAGAAAATAAGTGCTGAAAAATGAGTGGAAGTTATACTTTACATGGTTTGAGCTTTTCAAATCGAAATATTGCATATGTTGGCATATCAGAGTATGATCAGTTATCATACATTAGTTTTAAAAATTGTTTCTGTTATTTATTTATTTTTAATTGCGTTTTTCTAGAAATATGTAAAAAGCATTAAGGGCGGTCGGAAAAAAAAGCATTAATTTTTGCATCTTCACTTCCAATTAGGCTGCAAGCAACCACTATTAGAGTTGGAAATTACTGGAAGAGAACTGGAAGTTGCGTTTTGACAAATAAAAAAAGTTTCGTTCACAAAGTGAATAATCGTAGTCCCAGAGATAATGATTGCGGTGAACGTTTTGATGTTGAATATTTCCTATTTCATAAACATAAACAATCTGCTAATAACGCTAATTAATAGTTTCAAGTATAAGTAAAACTCATTTTGATATCGATAAAAAAAGTATAACAAAATAATTTTAAAAATAATTTGCGATATTTAAAAGTTTGACTAATTTGATAAACTTTATCAAATAAGACTAAAACAACACACGAATGACTAAAACAACACAAAAATGACCATGAATGACTAAAACAACACATGAATGACTAAAACAACAAATAAATAATAAAATTTACGACGCATTTAAAAAACTCAATGAATTTTCATCTTATACAAGTTTTTCCCAGAAAAATCGTTTCGCATTAGTAATAGTAATAGTAATATATTTAAATAAGTCTTTATAGATTACATGACAAATAAATAAAAAAACAATCTAATAAACAGATTAAAAAACAAAAGCATTTTTTATTTTTTTATTATTATTATTTTTATTTATTTATTATTATTATTATTTTTTATTTTATTTTTTTTTCAATTTTTTTTTGCTTTCATTTAATTACAGTTTACGTTTATGACAAATGTACCTAAAAAGTCAATATTTGTAGCTGCTAAAGCACGAATTAATTAAATTAAACGTGCAGCTCATCTTCAGTAAAAGATGCACTGTTTGCAGCTGTAGGAAAAAAATACTTGTCAATTCTACTTTTGAATGCGTTAATTGACGGAGCCTTTTTGCATGACAACGGTAAATAATTCCAATCATTCACAATACGATTTGTGAAGAAATTATGTCGAGCATTATTGTAAGTGAAATCACGCGTTAGTACGTTGGATGGTGATCTGCGAAGAGGTGGATTATGCCAATTAATAATTTCAAAACCGTTTTCAAGTTTAAACTGTTGGATCAAGTCGCCGCGTCGCCTGCGAGTTTCCAAAGAAGTAAAATTGAGACGCCGGCACCTTTCAGCATAAGGTAAACTTGTTATATCATGAGGAATTTTTGTTGCTTTGTGCTGAATTTTTTCAATTTCTTTGATGTCGCCCTTTAAGTAAGGACACCATACCGGAACAGCAAATTCCAGGTGCGGCCTAACATATGTAGTATATAGTTTACCCCAAATCTCTTGATCTAAATGTTTTTTTTAGTAGGCCAAGTATCATATTTGTTCTACGTGTCGCAACCTGTATGTGTTGATTCCATTTTAGATCGTTAGATAAAAAGATACCCAGGTCTCTTTCAATATCCGTTGCCGCTATAATAAGAGATGTATTACCATTATTCATTACATATTCATGATTTATATTTTCATGAACAAGGTGCATATCTTTACACTTTGCAACATTTAATTCCATAAGCCATTCCTTTGACCACTCTGAAAAAATGTTTAAATCATTTTGAAGAATCAGACAATCAGCATCGTGAAACTCAGGTCTTATTTCTTGCAACAGTTTAGTGTCATCAGCATAAATTTATGAACTGATTTTAAATTATCTGTTAAGTCATTTATGTAGATGATGAATAATGTTGGACCAAGCATTAAAACAAAATTTCTTAATAATAAATCTTTTCAAATATTTAAAATGCAAGGAAAATTATAGAAATAATAGATAATAATTTATCAAAAAAAAATATTTGGAATATTTAAACAGCAAAAGTCTTTATAAAAAAAAATTAAAATAAAAGCATTAAAAACCCATAAATTTAAGTCATAAATATATGCTTAATAAGACTAGATTGAATTGTCATTATTTTGGACTTAATTGGCTGCAATATAAGGTTACTGGTGAAACAAACCATTTTTTTATTGCAGCTTGTTTGTCCAAATCACTTAGCTATATGCTTCCCTTTTATTTTGTAAATAATACTTTCTTTAAAATTATAATCTTCATACGAGTAAAGAATATACGAGTACGTACGAGTAGAAAAAAAAAGCGAAAATTGAGATCTTAACTTTTATGTTCCCAAATATTTTAACGCCTGTAGTTCTGCAAAATATTTTAACGCCTGTAATTCTACATAATATTTTAACGCCTGTAATTCTGCAAAATATTTTAACGCTTGTAATTTTGCAATATATAAAACGCCTGTAATTCTGAAAACATCGATTTTCAAACGCGTCGCACTAAACTATGATTAAAATTATGTCGATTAAATGGTAATTAGGAGCCATCGATTTAAAAGGTCAGAAAAAAGACCTCTCTCTAATCTTTTGGATTTCAGTAGAAATTAAGTAGGGTAAAGGAGGGCAATAAGATCAGAAAAGCATAAACTAATTTTCTTTATGCTGTTGTGTGAATTTTTATGATAGAGTTCTACTTTAAAAACCAGGGAGTAGTTTAAAATATTTCTTGGATTTACAACTTTTAACCATAATTAATTTAAGTTTTAAGATATTTTTGACGGAGGTTTTTAGTTTTGTTTGAAGTTAATAAAAAACTTTTCCCAAATTAAGGTCCAATAGTTTCGAATTAAAAGATTTATATTAATTTGTATGTTTTTGTTTTCTTTGAAAGTAAACAAGTTAAATCTTGATATAGTAGGTACTTTTTTGAAGTTACACTATCGGTTTTTTAAGTTACTTATGTAATAAGTAACTTAAAAATTATGCTATTTCTTTTAGTAAAAAAAACCGAGTTGTAGAGCCGTTTGACAAAAACTTAGGCATTTTAAACAAATACTTTGAAACATTGTTTATATAAAAAGTAATTTCTATACATCTCAAATGCATTTTAATTACAAAGAATTTTTTATCCTACACTTTATACTGAAAAAAACAAAACATGAAAGTTTTTTTTCAATAAAAAGTGTAGGATAAAAAATAATTTTGAATTTCATAATGCTCATTTATATAAATGAATTGAAAGTATATAAAAAAGTGATCTCAATGTCCTCCTTTACTCTCTGTCATTCCAGTGGGATTTTATTATGTCAAATTTCAGTATGAAAATCTACGCTTGATTTTTATTGAGATTCATAATCAAGCCTTATATACTCAAATCTTTTACAATGTGTTTGCTCTTTTTTTTATATAAACATTGAAAAAGAATGACATTAAAAGCAAGAAGTAGGTATACTTGGCATTAAACGCACGATAGCGAACCACGCATATTGCCACGCTTCCTAGAGCAAACTGAGCTACAACAATTAGTTATATCTTATATAGAAATAAAAGTTAAATAAAATATTAAACATTTTAATATTTTGGAATAATATAAGTTATACTAGTTATCTAAAGAAAACTCTTACTAAAAGTTCACAATAATAGTCTTTATATATATATATATATATATATATATATATATATATATATATATATATATATATATATATATATATATATATATATATATATATATATATATATATATATATATATATATATATATATATATACCATTTTATTGTGCCAAACCAAATGAATTCTCGACTGCAAAGTATTTTGCTACCATTAGCTTTTCTTTTTTTTTTCAGAAACATTTTTTTTCTATTTATCGAACACTCTCCATTATAACTGTACCAATCGCCATAATTTGCAAGTATTCGTCAGCACCGTCACAGAGACATTTCTCGACAATCTAAGAATTATTATGCAATTACTTTTCAAATTTTTTTTTAATTATAGGCAAATTGAAATATTCAATGTCACTAAATTCTTGTACTTAAGTTACAATAACGTCATTTATCCCATGTCACCACGAGTCTCAGAATGGCTTGATTTTTAGATAAGAGATTTATTGTATTCACTTTGAATCATTCATTATTATTTACTAACTTAGAAATTGCTTGTTTGATTGTTAACTCAAACTTCATTGGATTTGTTAATAAAATTTTATTTTGGTGTAAAGTAAAAACTGAAGGTTTCCATTTAGGTTTAGGCAATTTTTCGTTTGGTAAATTCGTTTTAATTGCTATAATGTTTTTTTATGACAAAGGAAAAATATTGAATTGCGTTTTATTGCATTCCAGCCCTTATTTGTCTTTCTTGTTGTGATCCTATTAAAATGTCAAAAAGATGAAGACTGTCACTGTCATAAATTAGTTTCTATAATAAACTAAATTATATGTAGTCATAAATTAATTTCTACTAATTTATGATTACTAAATTATATAAATACTAAATGTACATACTAAATCATATATGTAATGTAATGACACAATATAAATAATGATATACTATAATTAGTGATGATATACTAAATTATGTAAATACTAAATATATATAACAAATTATGGTATCATTTCCTTATATACCAAAATTCTACTTGAAAACTGATTAAAATTTCAATTCAAATTCAATTTAAGTTTCAAAAAATTTTTAAAAAACTGCTGACTTATAACTACTATTGTAGCGTTTAAAATGTTGAAAAATTTAAGTTTAAAATGTTGACTTTTTTTTGGACTGATGCAGGATTCTTCTATAATTATTTTTGTAGTTATTTATTAAAACTGAAGTACTTCATTAGCAAAATCCAAGTATTCAAAATAAAAATTATTAACTTCATATACATTTTTGGAACATTAAAATTATAGGACTATATAGAGGTGGGACAGAAAAACTTGTAATATCTTGAATAATATTTTCTAACTTGCTTCCAACATATAACTTTCTTAAAATGTCTTATCCAGTTACGATATGGACCTTTAACTTGTAGATGGTGTCCGTATGCGTAATATACAAAAACGTATTTTAATTTTTAATTACCATTGTTTTAATTATAGACACATGAGTGTATATAACAAAATCTTTTTTTTCAGATTTTTTTTTTTTCAAAAATGTTTTTTTGTTATAATAATTTAGCAATTTTTAAAATAAAAAATAAAACTTATGTTCACTTTTTCGGTACCAGTGAGAAATGTAAACAAATGATACATTTACAGGACAGCAATAAAGTAGAGCGACCACCATTTACAATATCATATGGGAAAAGTTGTTCTAATCTTTGGAAGCACTTTTTATTGGAAAATAAAGCAAAACCATTATACAATTGCAAACAATGCCATCAGAAAGAGCGGTAAATATTGCTAATAACTATTAATGATGACACTGTTAATAACTTATGTTTTTTATGATCTAATGAAGAAGAGAAATAAAATTATAAGAAATTGTATTTACTATTTTAAACTGTAATAATTTATTTTTAACAAATAATCAAAATTAATCGATTATTTTTGTCGGAAATTAATCATTAATCAATTAATTTGAAATACAGATTAATCTACCGCCCCTATTAGCAATGTCAATCAAAAGTATTTCATGTGTTATAGGAATTTGATAGAAGAGGTAAGTGAAGAGTCTTTATCATTAATGCAGTTATTATTTTCTCTTGCATATATTATACATGAATATTTTTAAATTTATTATTTACTTTAAAAAGAACATAAAATTTTATAAAGATTTTAAATATAGATTCAAGATAAAAATTAAAACAAGATTCATTGACTTATTTATGAAAGCCAATATATTTCTTTATAAAAGTTAAAACTAACAATTGTAAATGCTAATAAACATTTATAACTTCCAATGTCATTTGTAATAAACATTTATAACTATCAATATCATTTGTAATAAACATTTATAACTATTAATTTCATTCGTAATAAACATTTATAACAATGTCATTTATAATAAACATAACTATCAATGTCATTTGTAATAAATTTTAACTATTTTTTTTTGCAATAAAACTTTTTTTATTAAAAAACATTTATAAGAACTTAGGTTGTCTTAAATTTAACTTTGGAACAAAATTAATCTAAGTTCTAACAAACTGTATTTTAATAAATAAAAAAAAAAAATAAAATTAAAATATATAACTTTTAGCTCATTTTTAAAACTTATCAACCTAATAAATCTTTAAAATCGTATTTATTGAATGCACTAAACTTTGGCTAAATTTTTTTTTTGCAGCCTACTCATAGAAGTTTCCTTTTTTTAGTATTCAAAAACTACTTGGTAACAACTAAATAGCATACTTATAAATAAACATTAGTAATAATTTCTAATTGGTTTGCAAAGACAACCAAATGTTTCTATATTAGTATTTTTAATATTATCCCCATTATAAAATACTCGCAATTTAAAATGAGGTTGAGCCATCCCTTTAAGTAGAAAACCTTTTAAATAGAAAAACTTTTAAATAAAGAAATTCCTATTTTATAGTGTGATTACTATGGTTTTCTTTTCTTAAACAAAAATAAACTTCACATTTAAAACTCTAAATATGATTTTATAAATTTTAGTTATGTTAATAAAAACATTCATTAACTTTAATAAAAAAATAATTAACATTTAATAAATTTGAAAATTTGAAACAAAATTAAAAACATACCGCAAGCTTTTCTAGTATGATGGATTTTTGTTTGTCATTAATTGTTAAAAGACTTATGATTTCATCATGTAACTAAAAGGTTGATGTTTTATATATTTTTAAATAAACACTATAAACAAATATGGAGAATAAATACAAAAGTATTATATATCATTCTAAACACTATCTATATAATATAAAGTCCTTCATGCTAAATACCAACACAGTATAAATATAAATAATTAAGAACATTTTCAATATATGACTTTGCAAGCCTTAAGGTAAAGTTTCAACAATAACTGCAGCACGATTTTTATAAAACTTTTAAATAATACTAATTTTAATACTGGTATAGATAAAGAATACTAAAACAAAATCAAAACATTTGTTCAAGAAAACCGTTTAATGTCATATTTAGTAATTTAAATTTTCAAATGTTTTCACAACATGCTCACATTGGTTAGAGCCACATTTTTTTGAATAGATAACGTCGCTTATAAAAAGTTAGCATAATTTGGTGTAAATTGTAAAAATTTCAAATTACATATGTATTTTACATAATACTTATGGCCTCCTATAATCTATGGTAATATTTGTTATATATTTTTAACTCTCATATGTAACTTTATTTTTAAGAAAACAGGTTTTGCATATGGTTAATTTGATTACTCTTTTGATTGGTTAGCAGAATTCAAATTAAGTATATATGACAATACTAGGTTTTGTTAAATACTTTATGTTCTCTTGACTTTTTTGATCAGACAAATTTTTTTCTTTTTACTTTATTCTAAAAATGTTGAGAAATTTGTAGGAGCTTTGTGTTTAAATTTTTATTTTTTAGTAAAATTTTGTTTTAAGTCCATATTTTTAGTTAGATTTTATTTAAAAAGAGCATAAACATAAACTTTGTTGTCATAAACAATTAAGGATTAGAAACAATTTGGTTTTGTATATAATATTTTTAAAATGAGTCTTAAAATTGTTTATATATTTAGTAATATACACTAATTTGATCAGTTAAAATTTGAACAATTTCAAATTTTTTCAAAAAAAATTTAATCAATCATAAAGATTTTATTTAAAAAAAACCAGAAACCTGATTAGTTTTTGTGTACGAGTGAATTTTTTTACATTTGATTTTACGTCAAGTAAAGAGTTTTAAAATGCAGTTTTTTTAAATGGAGCAGATCTTTTATTCAAAGAGTATTGACAAAAAAAAAAAAAAATGCTATAAAAAATAATATATAAAAAATCACTTAATTAAATGAATTTAACCACTTGTCTAAATGAGCTCATTTGGACAAGTTGCTTAAATTATTTTTTTGCATTTGAATGGTTATCTGTTATGATTATCATATATTATTATAAATTGAAGCATATAAAACGTCTGACAAAATTATTTTTAAAAACAAACATCTTTATTTTTGCCATATCTGTCACTATTCTAAAAAAGTAATGGTATTAAAAAATAAAATCACAGTGAAGCATGTTGAAACTATTGATGTTGAAAACTATTGATGTTGAAACTATTGATGTTGAAAACTGGAAATACCAAATATCAAAGGAATGATATAAAGAAAAATGAGAATATGTTCAGAAAATTTCAAAAAAGTCAGATTTTGCCTCAGATTTTGCTGATTTTTATACAGAAAGTAAAATAAAAAATAAGAATTCCTTTAAAATTTTAGCTTCTGGTTCCAAAAAGATCCTGAAATATGATCATTTTACTTTCAACAGATCTTGACCAGGCCTTTCTTGTCCTCTAAGAATTGCGACCTTTGTGTAAAGATTCCAATTCACATAGCTTTAAAAATATTTAATTTTTTTACTTAAAATTTTGTACATGGCTATTTTCAGGGGTAAAGAATCCGATAAAATAATTAGAAATTTAAAAAATTATTATTAAGTACCCATAATTAACAACAAATAAATTTAGGCAATTTTTTATATACCTGATTTTGATGCTCAGGAAACCCATGTGGCCTTGATGATATCAGAAAAAAAAAAAAAAACATGTCATTCTATATTCAATATTCTTTTAGAAAACATAAGGAATTAAATATGCAAGTATGTGGATTTCCATATATGGATAGCAGGCACCTTTTTGTAGCGGAATCTTGTAATACATTTTTCACTAACTTTCAGACTAGCTGGAGCTCTGAAACTTTTGGCATTTTTGTAGTGCCGATAAACGTACATTTTAAAATTGTTTTCAGGGCTCAAGACACTGGGGGAGGGGGCATGTGCCCTACTTTTTTGAGGGGAATCTTGAAATGGATTTTACACTACCTTCTAGAAAAGCTAGAGCTCTGAAACTTTTGGCATTTTTGTAGTCCTGATGAATGTGTGATAAAATTGTTTCCAGGGCAGACAACCAAAGGGCCACAGGGCTGGGGCACTGGGGGCCATGCCCCACTTATTTTCTCAAAAAAAAAATTTTTTAACAAAGTTACAATAACTTTGAAGACTTTGTCTTATTTATACTTATTCATTTTATTTAATTATTTACAAAATAAAATACAAAAAAAGTGTCAAGATTTTGTTAAAATTTACTTAGATGGATCAACGGTCAAAGTATACAAATGCCCAGTTGTTGTTTCAGGTGCATCAATGTTACAAATTATGTTGGCAATTGGAACCCAACACTTATCTGCTCTAGATGGCCAGAAAAGTTTGTTAAAAGGACTGTGTGGGTGCATAAATGTTACCATAATATCTTGTTCAGTATTGTCAATTTCATTCATCATACCAATCCATTGAAATAATTTGCTGATTAGGTTAAATACTTTGAAGTCCAGAAATTGAAAACATGCCTGTTATATTAAAAATCTTCACTTGTTTGTTTAAATCTAATAGTATATATAGGTTCTGGTTTAAATTGATGATAACTTTAAGTTTTAGGAATTGTTCTACTTAGCTGTAAACGTTTTTTCAATGTGGTGCGCAATTTTGTCAATCTTTCTTTTTTAATCTTAAAAAAAAATAATCCTATTAATATTATTTGTACAGTAGTCAAACATTTTGTTACAATTCAATATCTGGTCATTTATGGACTTTTGTAGACTTGCATTTACAGTTAATCACTTTACAGTGCCACCAATACCATCACATGGTGACTTAACATGACTTGTAGCAAAAAATATCTCTGCATCAATGTCAAAATCATTTTTATGGAGACAAACATTGTAAAAGTTTTTATAGTTTTTATACTGTGAACACAACCGCCTGAAAAATAATCTTTGAAATGTTAGGACGATATTCTTTTAAATAATTAACTATTTGTGTCTGAACTTCATACACAAAACCATGTCATGAGTCATGCTCATTGTCTTCTGTCATGAAGCAAAATGATTTTTCTCTAAGCTGGTCATTTTTGTTTAATAAATAGAGGGGAACTGGGTGTAATGTGTATTGAGTTTTGCACCATTGATAATTTTGGATTTCGTCTTGAATCACAAACGTGTAGTTTTCTGCAAAGTTACCTAAAACAATACAGCAGTCTTTTGCCAACTTTTCTTTTTGTTACGTTAAGTGTCAAATATCTTGCTTGACATTTTGCAATGTAGGAATGAGTTGTTAACTTGTTTATTTCCTTTGATAACAATAATTTGTATTTTTTTTTGTCTGATAGATCAATGTTGTTCTGTCTGTTTCCTCCTCGTCATTGTCATTGACAATTAGCTGTGCATCCAGAAACTTGTTTAAAGAAACTATACCTGGACAGTTCGGACATTGATGAATCATGCACTTGTTACTTGTCACATCACAAGCAACTTTTATCATCAGATCTTTGTAAGTACAATTTAATTGTATAGCAATGGTCACGAGTATTGCATTTTGATGGTGGGTACATACACAAACAAAGTGAGCCTCTGATGCTCCAACAGTTATACACCATTTTGGTCTTAAATTGCAAAACATAGAAAACCCAATAACTTATTGAGGATATTTAATTTTAAAAGAAACATACAGTTCTTTAAGATTACATAAAATTTCTTCTTTTAGTTAGCGTGCTTTTCCAATTTGGTATTCAGAGACGCTGAAATATCGAGCAGCATAATTTCTTAATCAAGACTCAGGTCTGTTACTTTTAGATAACCATTAATGCTTTAAAATGCCATGTAGTTTTATGAGGGATAGAACTATTATACCAAGACTAACATTTAATGCCTCTCGTGACTGATTCTTTTCCAAAGTTGCACTTGAAAAAGTTTGTTTTAAATTCACAAATATCTTGTTCATTAAATTTACTTATTATAGCATTATAGCAGCTTCGACAAAGTATTATAAGTATATAAGTATACCCAGGTACAACGTTTGGAAAATTGATTCTCAATTGTTTTGCCATATCTAATGTTACTGCATCACTACCTGAAATGAAAAGTACAATTTGTTTATAGTGATTACCTATGTAAATGAAAACTATTTGTTCTTATTTCAATTATATAATGCATAACCAAACTAGCTTATTTTCAAAATTAATTTTAAAACTAGTAGATTTTAACTTTATTATTCAAATTAGATCTTTATCAACAATTATTTACCTTTGATTGCTGTTCTTTTCGATTTATGCTTGTCCAATAAATTACAACATTTTGTGAGCTTCTTTTCAAAGTTTGTACCAAAACATTTTTCATGGTGAAGGCAGATTGTTACAACTTTGTCATCTGTTATTCCAGATCTCTAAATTAATTCTTCTCTGGCATCTTCTCTCTAACAATCAAATCTCTTTAAATCAATTTTTCTACAATAAATCAGTTTATGACAAGTATCATTTAACAGTTTTTCAAAATCACATAAATCCATTCTTACTTTAAAACTAACTTTGATAAAAGTAACAAAAAAACATTTAACATACTAGTATTAGCAAATATCAATTAAAATAATAATTTTGAAAAGTGGTATTTTTTTTATTAATGTAATGTTATGACAGGATGTTTTTTTTACTGTTGGATTTTATTTAATTAACCAACTTGCAGTTAACATTTTAGCATTAAAGAATATACTTTTTTTTCAAATTAAAAAGTTTTAAATGTAAAATTCTGTTAAAATCATTTTTTTTTTAGATGGATGACTGTTTTTAATCCATATAC